ATTTTAAGAAATCATACATTTTTAATATTAGAGCTTCACGGAAGATAGCTTTACGGAGGTTAGGATTTCGTATGTTTTTTTTTTTTAACATCCCTTTGTATATTTGAAATAAGTTATTGTATCTTTTGACACCTTAATATTTTTAAAAATACAATTGTGCATACATAAAATATTTATAAAAAAATCTACTTACTACACTTCACGGGGGATAGGTTTTTAAATAGCAAATTAATGAACTTAAACTTTTGAATTATAAAACAGCAACACTCTCATCTGCATATAAATTCTAACTGACCTTCAGAAATCACATGCATCTATAATGTCGTAAACAGAGGTTTTTGCTTATTTAAAATGATTAGAGCGCCATCCGTTGCATAAAATTTAAAGCAAAAACAGATTCACGGAGGATAGAATCAATTTTTGCAAATGGTTATAACAATTATTTCCTTTAAGGATAGGTTTTACACTTTTAAAACATTGTAAAAAATAATTAATTGCGGTTAAAAATCTGGAACCTTAGCTGTAATATCTACTTAATAGATACCAGTATGTTTCCTATAGTGGTTTTAAGAGTTTAAAGTTTTTATCAACTTCTGGTGTACCACAAGGCTCTAATCTAGGTTCTCTTCTTTTTACAATTTTCATAAATGACATAGGCGACGATATTGCAATATCGTCGCCTATGTCATTTATGACATTTATGACATGTTTGTGAAAGACTTTTGTTTGCCGATGATTTGAAAATATTTAAAGAAATACGCAGTGTTAATGACTGTAAGGCCCTTCAAAATGATTTGTGTAAGATTGAAGACTGGTGCAGGAAAAACCAGTTGGGTCTTAATGCAAACAAGTGTTAAGTAGTCACATTTACTAAAAAAAATAAAAAAACATTCTTTGATTACACCCTAAACCTAAGTTTACTTTTCCGTGTCACCGCCATTAAAGACCTGGGAGTATTATTTAATAGCGAATTAAATTTTCTTAACCACATTAATAACATAATAACATCTTCCAACAGAACCCTTGGTTTTATAATTAGAAATACCAAAAACTTTAAATGTCAAAGGGCGTTTAAAACTCTTTATTATTCATTTGTACTCTCTAAGCTTGAGTATGGTTTTCTAATTTGGAATCCAATATACTCTACTAATATAAGTAACTTGGAGAAAATTCAACGACGGTTTTTAAAACTCCTCTCTTTTAATCAAAACGGTGCATATCCAGATCAGTGTTATGATCACTTAACTCTTTTGAATGAATTCGGATTTAGTTCCCTGCAGTTAAGGAGAGCCACGTTAAGTGTAAAATGTTTGTACAATTTGGTACATAACAAAATTGACGCTCCCCCACTATTAAACCAAATAAATTATTTAATACCAAGAAATACTCGTTACCAACCTAACATTTTACTGCCCCAACGCTAGGTCGAATATTATTCTTAAGTCACCAATTTATTTTATGTGCAAAAATTTGACATTAACTTCAATAGAATTGGTTTTATAATTGATAGCTTATGTAAAAACTTTTTAGTCTAATCTTGTTATACCTCTTTTTGTATTTATATTTTTTTAATAATATTAGGACTTATTTTAATTTCTTGTATGTAATTGTTCTGTAAATGGATTTTATATCTGTTGGACAATAAACGTTATTATTAATATTATTATTATTATTATTATTATTATTATTATTATTATTATTATTATTATTATTATTATTATTATTATTATTATTATTATTATTATTATTATTATTATTATTATTATTATTATTATTATTATTATTATTAATTATTATTAATTATGAAAGATCAAAACACAATAAAAGTGTAGGTCAAACTCATTTAGTTTTATTAAATATCACGGGGTTACACCATCGGGAGACAGATTCACCCAGTTATTATATCAGAATCGAATTTTCGTTTTTTTCCATAAAATCAATATTTCCAAAAGCACAATCAACTAAACAAATCATGGCTACCCATTACCTAATTAAACGAGAATTAGCGTATCGCGTATAATAGAGACAATCACCCCTTCCCCCACCCCGCTTGTTCCTGCTGAAAAATCCGTACCCAACCTGCTGTGCAAGCGCTGTTCGACTTGTATTGCCATCCTTGTCTATATTATGTCACATCTGTAACGCGTGTTGCGATCATTCAAAACAAGAGAACGATAGCATTAAATTGATTTTATTTCCCCACTTTACGCGCGTATCGGCCAATGAGATGGGTGGGAGCAATCGGGAACATAGGCGGGGAATAATTCGTTCCAGTTGCCAATGGGAGAATGAAAAGGGGGGACGGTACGCGTGTCCCCTTTCTATTATTCCCCGGGTATGTAATTAATTTGTTTTATAGTTTAATTAATTTTGTACATGTTCTTGTAATAAAATTATACAAATTTCGTTGTATTTTTGCAGTCGTTTCCACTAACATGTTCATGTTCTGTATATTTGCATTTCATTATAATTATGTAGGTGCTGATTAAAATTGGAGATATTGAGGCCTTATTTATTGCTGTTTCTGCACTATCGCATTATATTTGTTTTTATGTTTTGGCATGTTTTTGAAACCACAACTACAGCTTAGCAACAATAAAAAGGTATTAAGTACATGCAAATTTAAAGTTACATGACTTAATTAAAAATGAAAAATTATTCCCATCAAAACCATAAAAAACCATAATATGTTTTTTATTCAGTTAAAAATATTAAAAATTCTTTTAAGCGGTCCAAAGACGAATCGATCAACAATTTGATACAGTCATTAGATAACTTTAAAAATGGAAGTAGGCCCAAAATAGTGCCTTGTGGAACCCCTTGTTATAAAAAAATGAAAAAAAAATATTTTAAGTCAAAATTATCTAAAATCGTTCTGAGCTTGATATTGGTTGTATATAATAATAATTTTATCCTGGTTTAGATATTTCAAACAAAACCCATAACAAATTATTACCTTCAAAAAACCATTTAATATACAGGTGTCAGTTTTTTGAGGCTAAGCATGGGTAACTTACTTATCTTGAGAGATACTTACCTGGTTGGTTAAATTAGAAAAAGTTGCGCATTTTCATGCCAATCTATGATCTAAACAGAAATTTGACTTTTGCTACCTTTCAAAACTGCCTGGATACGATAGTCAACTTACCCATGCTTAGACTAGAAAAACGAACACCCTGTCATCAGTTTGTATGGTAAACGGAGGTGGACCTAGAATGGTTCCTTGAACATCATTTGAAAATAATGAAAAATCGCAGTAATTTATAAAAATATCATGGTTTTAATTTTCCAAAAATGTAATTTTTATAAAAAAAATTTATTAAAAATTGTTGATAAACAACATAAAATGTCCAAAAAGCTGTATTTACTTAACAAATTATTATTTTTATCTTTACCTTAACAATTTAAAAAGAACATACATACCTATATATGCAATAACATAATGAAAAATCGCAGTAATTTATAAAAATATCATGGTTTTAATTTTCCAAAAATGTAATTTTTATAAAAAAAATTTATTAAAAATTGTTGATAAACAACATAAAATGTCCAAAAAGCTGTATTTACTTAACAAATTATTATTTTTATCTTTACCTTAACAATTTAAAAAGAACATACATACCTATATATGCAATAACATAACATAACATATATATATATACAATAAACAGTAGTCATTAGTTGGTTTGTGAGACGAAGCTAGGCCCAGAGTGGTGCCCTGGGGAACTCCTTACAATCGTTATAATAAAGTCCCTTGTAAAATAAAACTAAAAGTGAAAATTATTTTATTATCTCAATACAAAAGTATTAAATAGTTTTTTGACGTCAATATTTGAAAAGATTATATGAACATTTGTAGAAGAGCAGTTAACTAGATTTAACTGATAAAGCGTTAAAAAATTTGCTTTCAGTGCCCATAAAACATTATCTTCTCTTTTACTACGAAAAACTGCTTCTTTATCGATTGTTAGTCTATTTTCAAGGAATAAATTTTGATTTACACAGACAAATTTGAGGTTTAAATGCCAGTAGATTTCCAAGTTAGAAATTCTAACGTGAATTCCAATAAATACAATTGTGTAAGAATTTTTAATACTTTGTGATAATATTTTGAATTAGTAATAAAAAAGGATAAAATATTTTCTTAACGTATTCATATTTTAAAGTACTTTTAATATTTTAAAGTATCAATAATTGTTAATGGTTAATGGTGAAAATTACGTCAAAAATGTTTATTGGGATGGTTACTTTATTTTCGTGTAGATGTCGCTTTATATAAATATTTAATTTAAATCATTTTTTAGAAGTTATTAAGTATTTGTCGTGGAAAAAGTATATTATGCAACTCGTATATAAACTTTTCTAGTCACTCATTTAATTAAGCACTCGCTCGCAAGATTGCTCTTACCATAATTAAATTTGTGACTAAAATGGCGTTTATCAAATTTGATACATAATATACTATTATAATATAGGAAAAATATTAAAAACTTTCCTTACAAAAATTTAACCATAAATATAAACATATTATTGAACGCAAATTTGCACCTCAATGCTAATATTTTTGTAATAAATATTTGCTGATGTAATTAAAAAAATTAAGTGTGATCCCGAAATAATTTTTAAATGATGATTACCATAAATATATTTAAATGGATTTAAATTATGTATGAATATTATAAATATAAATCGTTTTATCAAATCAATATGGAAATTAGCACAAAAGGCCCGGGTACAGCAAATATACAAAATCCATACGCGTTCTCTCTTACATATACTGCGCCATAGCAGCGGACAAACCGAAACATAATCAATTTAAATTAATATCCAGTTACCATAGGACAAATAATATAATATGACAAAAGCACGCTACACTCACTACACCCTAAGGGTCATCAATTGCCGCTTGATTTGGATAATAAATAGGGGGCGTGGTTTTAAAGTCGCAGGCTCCTCCCACGAACCCATGGACCCTTTCCATCGCCGAGACCAGAGTCAGTCGAGCCACTTCTCTCGTGAGGTAAACATCGAAAGCAGTTCTCCATTGAGTTTATCGTTCAGTGTTGTGACCACTTAGTGACTTAGTGCAGTTATGTTTTCCACAACCATGGAAGACACAAAAACAGACATCAAATCCAAAATCTCGTTCAGTGTCGAATCGCTGCTGAGCAACAAAAAATCAGATTCCGAAAAACTAGAACCGCTAGAGGAAGACTTGGACGATTCGCGTTTAGATTTATCCAGTGAGCGTTTGGAGGATGAAGACGAAAATATCACAGTCGACGACGATGATGAAGATACAGACGGAAGAGAGAGTTTGAGTCCAAACTCATCACACCAAGTCCTAGTACCTCAACCATTACATCCTTCTATGCCCAGGATGTTGCCCGGGCATGGACAATGGCCTTTTACATGGGTCGGACCTGGAGGAATTCTGAGATCATCGTCTCCACAAAGTAAGTTGATTTGAAAATTTTAAGCGTCGGAAGACTTAGGATGATAGAGTTTTTATTTGATCTAATTGGTTTTCCACATCTTTATGGTTGTAGAAAAACAGATAATTTTAAACCGTATTATACGGTTATGACTTTATAATTAGTGCCTATTTTAGTAAGTGTAGCAATTACTGATTGTTTTCTTCTTTATTGCAGCAAACCTAGCGAATATGGCAGCAAATGGACCACCAATCGTAAGGTGTGCTTTAAGAAAACACAAACCCAATAGAAAACCTAGGACCCCCTTTACAACCCAACAACTTCTAGCTTTAGAAAAGAAGTTCAGGGATAAACAATACCTTAGCATAGCTGAAAGAGCTGAATTCTCTAGCTCGTTGCGACTCACTGAAACACAGGTAAAAATACTTCCAAATTGATAATTTTTCTCTTTTTCTTAACTGTCTAATAAAATGAACAAAAACTAAATGTATTTTTTATCTTCAGGTGAAAATTTGGTTTCAAAACAGACGCGCCAAAGCAAAACGCCTCCAGGAGGCTGAGTTGGAAAAAATGAGACTCACAGCTCGCCCCCATCTGCTTCCTCCCACATACGGGTTATTCCACGGGGGTGCCCCCCTGATTTCGCCCTTTTTGGCGGCGATGGCCCACCGACCCCCCCACTTTGGATTTACGGGGGGTCCGGTCCTGAACATACCGCAATGACAATTAAATTTCAGTGATACGAACTAAAACTTGTGTACCTTGTAGTTTTAACAAATTTTGTTGTCATTATTTTTTGTTAGTGAGATGTTAGTGCCCCTTGTATATGTATATATACTGTTTAGTGCAATTTTTAGTTTTTTGGGGTGCTTTGCAAAATTATTGTATAAATAAAAGACTGACTAGTATGTTGTTTAATTATTATTTTTGTATATGTGTATGTTAAATGTACAAAGTTCTATTTAATTTCGTGTACATTATTGTAAATAGGAAATATATGAATAATTAATGTTTGTTTTTATAAAACTTGACTTTTATTTTTACACCACAAAAAAATGTATAGGTAAGTATAATTGGATCAGTACTTAAATTATAGGTTTTAATTGAATTTAATTATATAATTTGGTCATCGAAATTGGCTAATTAATTTTATTGCCATCTAAAAAAATGAATTGGCTGTAATATTCAATTAATTAAAAATAATATATTGATTGATGGCGATGTCTATAAACAAACCAAAGTTCAATATTAACGCCTGGTGCACAGGTGCATACAATATACAATAATTAAAAATAATTTTTACAAAAAACCTGTGTTAATTTTGCAAAACTGTTTAAAATATCCTAAAACTGAGATGTTGCTTGTATTACTCTAAAAGTTGACTTTAATAGTATTTACATATGTATCAAGTTTTTAGTAATAAATTATAATAAGGCACGGGAAATGTTTATAAACGAGTTACCTGTAGAATACTATACTTATTCTACGACAAATACCTACTTAATCTGAAAATGATTTAAATTAAATATATGTATAGAGCGACATCTATAAAACAATAGAGTAACCATTCTTGGAAACCTGTATTACCGAAAATGTCAAATTTGTATGTGTAAATCGAAATTTATCCCTTAAAAATGAGCTAACAACCGTTTTTTACATTGAAAGTGAAGAAAATGTTTTATGTTTTATGGGCACAGTAGTCTTGACCCGAAAGTAAGTTAAATTTAGTTTACTGCCGGCAAAATTAAAAGGTCAGTACAATGTTCATATAAGCTTTTCAAAAATTGGCGTTGAGAAACTATTTTGTTCCTTTTGTATTTTTGTTTTAAAATATTAAAATAATTTTCACATTTAGTATTATTTTACAAGAAGGGCACTTTATTTTACCTATTTTATGACATTTGACAACTATCAACTAACTTCAGCCCTTGACTAAAAATCTGTTGCTAACTTCAACCCGTGACTAAAACTTACGATAATGGACGTTTTAAAGGTGGGAGTAGAAAAATATATTAAAACTTTTAAAATCATAATTATGTATTAATAATGTCCTAAATACTGCCTTAGAAATTTATTTTTATAAATTTAACATTTTGGGTTTCACATTTAAGTAAGATATGCCTTTGAAAACGTACGTCCTAGTTTTTTAATACTTTATTTTGTAAACGTCAAATCTTTCAAAATCAAATTTTATTTAATGTTATAATACAGTGGCGGATTCAGAGGAGGGGTTTAGGGTGTTAAAATTCTGGGAACTCAATTACACTTACCTACTTCAGTTTATTTTGTATAAAAATAACAAGATTTTTGAATAAATATATATTTTTAATTTGCAGAACAAAGATATTTTGCCCCTTTGAAGCACTGCGTGATATTTAATAAAACTAAATGAGTTTGACCTACACTTTTATTGTGTTTTGATATTTCATATTTAAGTAGATATAACAGCTCAAGTTCCAGATTTTTAACCGCAATTAATTATTTTTTACAATGTTTTAAAAGTCTAAAACCTATCCTTCGTGATTGTTACTGTTTTCAATATCTGAGGTAGTAAAAGCATACTAAAAATATCAGTTCACTAAGTAAATTAAACACATCCAAAGCAATCGAATCAAATATAAAATATTATTAAAAATTAAAAGAAATAATTTTTTTAACCATTTATGTAGGTGTTACAAAAATTGATTATATCCTCCGTGAATCTGTTTTTGCTTTAAAATTTTATGCAACGAGTGGCGCTTTAATCATTTAAATAAGCAAAAACCTCTGTTTACGACATTATAGATGCATGTGATTCCTAAAGGTCAGTTAGAATTTATATGCAGATGAGAGTGTTGCTGTTTTATAATTCAAAAATTTAAGTTCATTAATTTGCTATTTAAAAACCTATCCACCGTGAAGTGTAATATCTCAGTAAGTAGATTTTTTTTATAAATAATTTATTTAATATTATACTGACCATTTAATACTGACCAACTAAAAAGTGCACTTACCATAAAATTGAAATACTGATCATTTAATTTGTACCGCTTATTAATTAGTGATTTATAATGGTTTTCGTAACTTAAATAGTGAAAATGTATTATAACGCAACTTTGAAGTGTATTTCCAACATTTATTTTCAGGTTATGTTCATAATTCCTTAAATCAGTTTATTCGTTTGAAAATTTCGGTAAAGTACATAATTGAGGCGCGAATTATAAATTTAAAATAAAATGTTAAGAACTTTATACTAAAATACACTGTTAATGGTTCTATAACAACTAAAAGGACTTGAACTGTCAACGAAATTGGTTATGTTCGTGTTTTTAGACCTTTATTACCTTAAAAGACAAAGATGGCAATTGGAAACCATTATAATTCTTTTGTAAATACAGAGATAAATTTATAGGATAAAACATTAAAAAATAGCAACTTTTTCTATTTTATAAGTTAACAATTAGTAATTAAAATAAATATCCCGATACGTAAACGTATTCAATTACATATAAATAACTAAAATACCTTGCTAGCATTTAATCCCCATTTCAGGCAATACAATATTGCTACCATTCTCACACTTATAAATTTGTATTCGCACCGAGTGTCGTTTTAATTTGTAATTTAGTTCGTTGAATCGCCTTAAAAGGCAACAATAATGCCACTCTAAACATATGTATGTATATTTCTTAGCTATTTCTCTTAATGTCTCCAGCTATCGTAATCGCGATCTCTACCGCTCGATCCCATAAAGTTTCTAATAACGCTTCTTATGGATCTGGCGTCATATTTTGCAAGGATTTTAGAGACTATTTTTCATCAAACAATTTCAAACATCCTACAAGTATTTAGGCTGCAGAGATTTTTTACTGTGAGTGAGTAGGTAAGTAGGGAAGTATCTTGGATGATTAAAGTAAAAGTAAGTAAGTTTTTATGACCAATTTCACATAATAATTTTAGACAATGAGTATTTCTAATGTATTTTAGAACGTATTAGGCATTTTTAGGACATAAAGGTTTTTTGGCAGTTAACAGAATTTTAAGACAGTTTTAGGATTATTTACATAAACCATTCTTAGCCAATTTTTAACTGATTTTATGCTGTCTATAGGCAAATATTTTTTTAAATATATACATTTTAAGGTAGTTTAAGGACATTTTAAGATTTATGCAGTTTTAACATTAAGACGATTCTGACATTTATTGGACATGACAGTTAACAGAATTTTAAGACCATTTTAAGACTGTTTTTAACTAATTTTTATATAGTTTCATAACATTTTACTCAGCAATTCTTATATATATTTATAATGTAGACATTTTTGTACATGACACTTTTATGGCAGTCAACTAAATTTTAAGACATTTTTACATTTTAGTTTATTTTAAGACAGTTTAAGTATGTTTTATCCATTTGTAGGACATTACAATTTTAAGGCAGTTTTTCTTACTATTTATAAAACGTTTATAAACGTTTTGCCTATAGGCACATTTTTTAGTGGTTAGTTTATATTAGGACATTTTAAGATTTTTAGAACATGATAATATCATGTTATATATTATATCACTATAGTTAACCGAATTTTAAGACAGTTTTAGAAATTTTTTAAACAGTTTCATTACATTTTAGTCGGCAATTTTTTTATACTTATTAGGAACTTTTAGTGCAGTTTTAAGACAACTTTTTTTAGATAACTTTTAGGGTTTTTTTGGACTATTTTAAGATATTTTAGGCATTATAAAGATTTTAAAGACATTACATAAATATGGTTTAAACCGTTTAAGTTATTTTTAGGACATGACAGTTTTATGGCAGTTCAGTAAATTTTAAGACATTTTTACATTTTAGATTATTTTAAGATAGTTTAAATATGTTTTATCCATTTTTAGAACATTACAGTTTTATGTAAATTAATAGAACTTTAAGACAGTTTAAGGTATTTTAAACCTTTAAGAATTGTTTGTTGTTTATTGTATATTAGGACATTTTACGATAGTTCTAGGACATTTTCAGGACATGGCAGTTAACAGAATTTTAAGACAGTTTTATGATATTTGAAATCATTTTAAGACTGTTTCTTAACTGATCTATCCAACAATTTTTTGTTATTTTTGTTGTTTATACTAACAGCAGGCATTTTTAGACATCTCATTTTTAAGACAGCTTTATTATATTATAGACATTTTTATGTCTTTACAGTTTTATATCAGTTAATAATTTTAAGACATTTTTAGAATATTTTAAAGCACAATTTTTTACTGATTTTTAAACAGTTCCATCAACAATTTTGTCTTGATTTTTTAAATTAGGAGGTTTTAAAAAAATTTCAAAAAATTTTTAGGACATGGCACTGTCTTAAAATAGTGGTAATTTTCCAAATGACAATTATATATTAAACTAATTCAGGATATTTAGACCATTCATAGACTGTTTTTAACTGATTTTTATACAGTTTTATAAAATTTTACTTAGCAATTGTTTGTTGATTTTTATTATGAAACTTATAAGGACATTTTAATAGATACAGTTTTAAGACAGCTTGGACAATATAAAATGTAGGCAGATTAAGTACCTATATTTTATACCGTTTTAGACAGTTTAAGGACATGACAATTTATGGCAGCTAAGAGTATTTTAAGACAGTTTTAGCATAGTTTAAATCATTTAAAGACTGATTTTTAAAGTTTGGGCAGCATTTTTTATTGATTATAATTTATTAGGTCACAAGACAATTTTAGGACATAACAGTTAAGACTGTTTTTAACTAATTTTTATACAGTTTCATAACATTTTAGTGAGCCATTTTTATATATTTTTAAATTGTAGACATTTTTAGGACATTACAGTTTCATGGCAGTTAATAAAATTTTAAGATTTTAAAAACAGTCTTAACAGTCTTAAAATAACGTTTAGG